GGTTCAGGATTCGGGTATCTTTTTTCTGGATGGGGGAGACTCCTTCCCGCTCCTGATCTTCTTCCCTCCGCTGTCCCTCCCCTCCTGCTTTGTGGAGGACGGTCCATGGAGAGGAAGCATGCTGCCAAATAATTTCCAGATGTCTAAACCATGTTTCAAACATGTTATGAGTACTCCAGATATTGTAATAAAAGGGAGGGGGTCTGGACCCTCCAAGACAAGCCATTTCAGACCCCCCCCCGTGGGAGAACCCTCCAAAACATCGTCCCCAGACCCCCCCAGGCCCTCCAAGATAGCCTGGAAGAGACCCCCCCGAAATGAGACCCCCCTCCCTCTATTACGAAATCTGGAGTATGTGAAACTATGTCTGAAGCCCTTTTGGAGCATGTGCTGCACATTTTAAGCGCATCTTCAGTTCAATGATCGGATCTCGGAGGGCACCAACTATACACCAACACCGATCCTGGCCCAGGATCACCCTGGGCCCAGGATCGGTGTATATGCCTTCTTGCGCAAGGCAGGAGGGCGCATACCCCGATCCTGGGCCCAGGGTGATCCTGGCCAGGATCGGTGTTGGTGTATAGTTGGTGCCTTCCTAGGATCGTTAGAGTGTTCCCTGTCGTGGCATCCGCAGCTCCCGCTCCCTGGCGGTGCCGCTGCCCGCCTCTGCTGGTCGGAGGCCTCCTCAAGCCAAAGAGAGAGAGGGGACACGCTCGCGCAACGCGCGTCCCTCGCACCCCCCGTTGTCCTCGCTAGGGGGCCACGCGCGAACCCCACCCATACCCCCCACGATTTCTGAGGGGGAGGGTGGGGTTCGCTTCGTTCGGAGGCTCCCGAGGCCCCCCCCGTTGTCCTCACTAGGGGGCCACATACAGCTACTGGCTCTGGCTCTCACGTGCTCCGTTCTGTTCCGCCTTTTCTGTCGTTTTCCGGCCAGCCTTGTGAGCTCCACGTATCTCTGCGCTCCGCTGTGTACCGGCCTGTCCGCATCCAACCGTGGCGCCCTGGCTCAGGCAAGGCATTCGCAGTGCCGAGTGCATGAAATGCCAGACAATCTTCACAAGAGATTGGCGAGCGTGGCCGTGAGTAGGGGGCCACACCCTACCCCCCACGATTTCTGAGGGGGAGGGCGGGGTTCGCGTCGTGCGGAGGCTCCCGAGCGAAGCGAACCCCGCCCCCCCCCTCAGAAATCGTGGGGGGTAGGGGTGGGGTTCGCGTGTGGCCCCCATAGAGTGACAAGGCCTACGATACACGTGCATGCGATCACGATGCTCTTGAGTAGGCCATAGCGCAAACTAGGTGCATCACAGCATACTGTGAGTTCCACCCGTAAAAGTGCAGAGAATTCCATCTCTATGTGAGGACGATGCAGTACAGATGCTGCTGCTGATGCTGCACTCTCCACGAGCCCGTTTCTTTTTTGCTTGGGGCATGACGGGCGTCATGGCCCCCGCTCCCCCCCCTATGACGTAACGCTCCCTCCCAGTGCGCTCTGGGCACTGCCGCCGTGCGTTTTGCGATCCGCGTAGGTGTCCGCGTAGGAATCCGCATAGGAGTCTGGTCCGCAGTCGTCGTCGTCGTCGTCGTCGTCGTCGTCGTCGTCGTCGTCGTCGTCGTCGTCGTCGTCGTGTGACACGCCAGGGGGCAGCACTGAAGCAGAGGGCGCTGGCGGTGGCCAGGCCCAGGAGCAGGGCAGCGCCGGCGCTCCAGCGACCTCTCATGGAGGGTGAGGCCTTCGAGGAGTGCTGGCCAGAAGTCGCTCATGACAGAAACGAGTAGGACGAGAGAGAGAGGAGGAAGCAGGGCTGGACCTAAACGGTGTCTTTGGCGATTTCGTGGGCCGTTTCCGTTTCGACTTCCTTTCTGCGGTCAAGACGGATTCGAGGCAACAGCGAGGGACAACGAAAGCAGAACGAAAACGAACAACACCGTTTAGGTTCAGCCCTGGGAGGAAGGTCGAAGGCAAGCGGTCCAGCACCAGGCCCGTGGAGGCCAGCAGGAGGGCGGGCAAAGCCTGCCCCCCACCAGATCCGGACAGCCGAGGGGGAAGAGGAGCTCCAAGGGGGCCATTGGCCGAGGCGGTTCAGGAGCTGGAGGACCTTCGCCTTCTTCGAGGCGGCTCAGGAGCTGGAGGACCTTCGCCTGCTTCTGCTTCGAGGCGGTTCAGGAGCTGGAAGGTGGCGGATCCTGCGCCTTCAGCAGCTCGTTCAGCTCCCCCCCGGGTCGTGCCGTCGCCGACCGCCTCCGCGAAGGCGTCCAGCTCGGTGGGGAACGTCTTAGTCTCCTCTTCGGGGCAGATGGCGTTGAGCACCTCCACCTGGACCTCCGAATGCCTGGCGGTCGCGCTTCCCTCGGCTGGCAGGGGTGACGAGCTTCTTGGGGGCCCCCTCCATGCTCGCGCTGCTGGGGCTCGCACGCGGACCAGCGACTGCCTTTCTCAAACGCTGTCTGGACTTGCCGGTGTGTGAAGTTCTGCATCTGCGTCATGCTGTCCTGCTCGTTTCTGGATGCGAGCTCGTCGGAGCCGTCGCCAGAAGCCTGCGCCATCTGCAACAAGTGCTCCGCAGCAGCTTCAGTCTTCCTCTTGTTTAGGGCCTGCTGCTCATTGCTCTTTCGCATTTTCGCGATCTGCTTGAAAATCAACTTGTTGTTGCTGTTGTTGGAATCGCCGCTGGACTCGGTAGCGATGGACTCGTCGTTATCATGCTTGGTCAGCTACTTGCCCAGAGTTTTGAGGAACACGAAGGGCTGTTTCGTCTTCTTAGGGTCTTCTTTCTTCACTGGCCTTCCAAATGCAGCGAAAGCTGAGTTCGTGGAGGCTTCCGTTACGCGCTTGAGCATGGACATTTTCTTTTCGACGGCCTGGGCTGCAGCCTCACGCTGCGCCGTGGTGTCCATCATGTGCTCCATCGCGTTCGGCTGCGGGAACACCCGTGCTGGCATCTGCGGCTGCTGGCAGTCAGGCGACGGCCGTGCAAAGCGCGCCGCAGCCCAAGCCCCCAAGTCTTAGGACAGATGAGCGCGGCGCCGAGGCGAGAGAGACATTTCGCCCTTACGCGCGCGATGCGCGCCCCGTCCCGTTCCTGCCACGCATTTCGCAACGTGGACGGCCAAACGTCCATGTTGAAATAAGGACGTCGGTTTTGCATGGTTCTTTTGGTAGGTCGGATTGGAGGTGGTTGCCTGTCGGCAAGACTAGGGGGAGGAGGGGGAGAGATGAGGAGGAGGGGGAAGAGGAGAAGGGGGAGGAGGAGGGACGGGGTGGGGGGGAGGAGGGAAGGGGGGGGGAGGAGGGGGGAGGGAGGAGACGGAGGAGGACAGTCTGGCGAGCCGCCCTGCTCCTGCTCGGCGTTCCCGCCGCCGGTTACCTGTGGTTGCGCGCGATGCCACCGGAAGGATCAGAGCATTGACGTGCAGGGGAACGCCGTCAAGTGCCTTGCCAAGATTGTGTGCAAGTTCCAGGAGCAGCAGATCGGGGAGGCGATGCTCTTCTTTTCTCGGCCCACGCGCGCGCTCAGTCGTGTCCTGGCTTGCCTGCCCTGGCCTTGTCGTTGTAAGTCGTTTGTGCAAGTGCAACACCGAAATCTAGGATCGTCTTCCCCTGGTGGAGGCAACGCCCTGTGTTGGTGTTGGTGTCAATTTCCAAGCCTTCAATTTCTCGTGTTGCATGTAGCAATGTGGGGTGATCTCGCTGCTGGTCGGGTCAGTCCCATGGCAGGACGTTCGACTGAGTGCATTGCTTTGTACATCGTGGACTGGAACAAGGCTGCAGGCAAGAGTGAAGACAGAAGAAGGAGTGACCTACTTGATACTTTGTCCGAGTGGTAACCATCCTTATCATCTGCAACTTTGCATTTCGTCGCAGCTGGACCTTGCATGAAACGTACTGACTGGTTTCTGGGTTGGACACGGATCCTGCGGATTATTTCGAGTCAGCCGATTTCCAGCGACGAGAAGCCGTTGTCTTTTGCTGTAGGGATCTGGATAACGGCGGCGGTATTCACAGCCGCATATGGTTGGGTACTTTGACGGGATAAGTTGTTTTCCCCGAGGTCGATGGATGCCAAACCGCCCTGGTCTCTGTTCGCCCCCGTGGGCTCCGCAGCTCCTGTGGCCTCTCCTCGGACGCACAGAGACATACTAATAGTATATGTCCGCCTTGGAGGCGCGTGTCTGATCCGAACATATAGTATACCCATCTTGTAGTATATCTTTTCCCGGGCGGCGTGGTCAGACAGTGCCCGCCGCGGCGCATACACTATTGAGATTTTCCGGTGCGCGCGTCGCCTCATGGGGGGTCGACGCACCTGTAGCATGAGCACGTTGGGGGGACACCGACCTCCGCAGGTGCTCGCCAAGCTCAGCCAGCTCGTGCTCGAGGGGAAGGCGGAGGTCCGCGACATCTACGCCACGTGCCTGAAGGCCTCCTCCTTTTCTACCATACATGCTTCCCATAAGAGAGTCCTATACATGTTTTCCATAAAAGATTTCCATACATGTTTCCCATACATGTTTTCCATACAAGATTTCCATACATCCGACCCGGACAGACCTACCAGAATCGGGGAAGCGTAAGACTCGAGTAAGCCAGAACTCGGGTTTGCCGACACTTTTTGACGAGCGCGTCCTGGATTTGGACGGTCCAGTCTTCGCGGGACGTCTGCAGCGGGAGCTCGTGTCAAATTTCAGATTGGGTCTCGTCATCTTTACGGTGGCCCCGTCAGGCCAACCCGAGTCCCCCGTACCCGAGTCTTTCGTCTCCCCGACAGAAGTGGTCTGGGTCGTAGTAACTCTGTGAGAACGGTTTTTTGAAGGCAGATCTGCCTTCAAAGAACGGTTTTTTGAAGGCAGATCTGCCTTCAAAGAAACCATTTTTTGAAGGCAGATCTGCCTTCAAAAAACCGTTCTCACAGAGTAGACCAGTCTGTCCCCCGTACCCGAGTCTTACGTCTCCCCGACAGAAGTGGTCTGGGTCGTAGTAACTGGCCCCGCGGGGGAGG